ATTAGCCCATTCTTCTGATAATGCAACAGCCATTTCTAGTAGTGTCGCTGGAAACATTTTGCGAGTTCCTACAATACGTCCTAAATTCATCTGCTAGATCAATAGGATTCATTCTGGGCTCCTAGCAGTCCACTCTAAAATGATACCTAATCCCCGCAGGTTCTAAGAAATGATACACCATCCGCTCTGTATGTGGTCGGGCATTCTCATACAATAAAATAAAATTCTGATCGTCTAATTCGATAAAAGATTTGATAAACCAAACTGCCGCAAGATTGATAAATATTTCTTCTGTTCGCCGTTACACTCGCTTTTGACCATCTACCATATGAAGACAATATCGTGCTTCGCCTGAGAATGGGACTTGAGATCTTGATGATTCTGTTAGCCATAATTTCGAACAAAGTTCCGCTTCAAAGTTCGGTGCTCTCTCAATAATTTAGGCCCTGTTTTGTGTGATAACATAGTTCTTATTTCTATAGCCTACTGCACATTTTTCATCTTCTTTTGAAGTCTTACGGCATTAAAAGGAGAAAAACATACAAACAATTATATCGTTAAATTCAGAAAAAGTAAGGATTTTAAAAGGCCCACAGCCAACTATGATTACCATTTAAAAAACCATAAGTTTATTTTTCTCGTAAATCAAGTTGACTATGATAACGAGTGCTAGTTTATTGGATTCAACGCAAAAAGTTGTACTAAGGGCAGTTTTAACTTTTATTCAAAGTTAAGCAGTTTACGTAATAAGTGATAATTAAAAGTGTTGATTTGTTGTCTTTTCAGGATATTTCAGGAACCAAGTCGGCTACCTAAATTTTGAAAACGCTAATGAATAGGCCATTTAACTGATTGTCCATTTAACTGATTCTCTATCTTTAAAAATATAGAAGTTACCCACACAAACATTCAGACAATGGCCACCCTGTATACATATATATACACTTGTATATTCTTTTTTCAAAACCACAGCTAACTCTGCGGACAACATTTGCGGAGTTAGTTTTAAAAGCGTCACTTATGCGTATATTCAGGTCGTGTGAAGTTGTCGGAAGCGTATGGTAGACAATTCCTTTTATGTAC